CCGCTCCCAAAGGCCCGCCTCCAGCCCCGCCCCAGCCAGAGGCTCCCCCTTCCCAGGTCCGCTGAGGCGGCCCCCTGGGGACTACTTGTGCTGCGTAGATGGTGGGGGGCCCAGCTGGTGCGTTATCAGTCTCCTCCAGGAGCTTGCCTGAGCCACTCTGCGGCTGCCAGTCTGAGATTAGGCCCCGGGAGGGTCATTAAGCACCTCCCTGGCCCGGGCCCAGCCTCCTTTCCCTCCCTGATCTGGCCAGGCTGGCAGGTGGGAAAGAGCGATAAGGACCGGGGGTCTCCGCGGTAGTTCTGGGGCCGGCAGCTCCCGGCTCCCAGCCTGGGTCAGGGCGGGAGCGTGGGGTGGGAGTGCAGAGCTGTAAGGTCAGTGCCAGCCTAGCCCCTGCTGAGGCCCCCAGGCTTCTTACAGTCCTGGTCCTACGCAAATTGAGCCAGAAGGGCTGGGGAGAGGGCCAAGAAGGCTCCTAGAGAGCTCCCGGGTCCCCGGGTCCCTGGGATCTTGCCCAGGCAGCTGCTGGAAACAAGGTGAGTTGGCAGAAACCTCCATTCACTGTGGGGGAGACAGGCTGGTGGCTCTGCCTTTGGGCCCTGCTGGCAGGCTGGTGGAGAGACAGGACTTGACCACTGCCTGCCAGGGATGACTAGTCGCAGAGAAGGGAGGAAATGTGGCCTGGTATGGGTGAAGGCTTCCTACAACAAAGGGATGACTGTAATGGCAAAACAATTGAAGACAGGGCGGGAAGGAAGAAAGGGACATTGTGCCTTAGCAGAGGCCTGCCCCACTAGGAACCTGTATGCATCTCTGAGTGAGCAGCTGGGCAGAGGTCACCTGCCTTTGCCCTCTGGTCAATCAGGAAAGACTTCTCAGAGGAAGAGGAACAGCGGCTAAGCAGAGTTTAAACTGGCAGAGGTGAGATGAGAAAGCACAAGTCACAGAAAGCCCCCGCGAACAAAAGCGTAGAGTCAGAGTCACAAAACAACAGCCACTTCAGAGCAAGCTGAAGCCCCAAGAGGGCAGGCGACCAGCCCCAGGTCACACCTCAAGGCAGGAGCAATTGCTTGGACCAACACCAGCTCAGGACTCTTCCCCAAGCCTGAGCCTGGGTGAGGGGAGAGGGGAGCATTTTTATTTTTTTATTTTTTTGGAGAGGTTTTTGCTATAGGGTGCGTGCGCTCGCCAGACAGACAGAGAGAGACAAAGCAAGAAATCACCCCCCCAGGGGGGATGGTCATGCCGCAATCCCTTCTCCTCCATTCTCCTCTCGGGATCTTGGGCACGCACTCACACACACCCGGCGTGAGTTTTAAGCCACCGGGTCCAGGACGAGAACTGTGGTCGACTACGTGAGAGTCCAGCGACATAGCCTTTACGCTAACTGCTAGTTCCTGAGAGGGGAGCATTTTAAGGTAGGTCTTTCCCGGAGGTTTTTGGGTGAAGACCTAGAACAACAAAGGAATAGCTGCAATGGCAGCTCGAGTGGCTGTGTTGGCTTGAGACAGGTGGTCTCTGGGTGGTCTCTGGGACAAGGTGCACTGCCTCCTGCCTTCCAGACCCCTCCTCTGAATCTGGGAATGCTCCTGCAGGGCCTGTCTCAGGTTCTCACCCCAGACCGAGAGACAGAAGCTATTCCTATTAGACCAACAGTCTCAGGTGGGGTCCCCTAAGTCAGCTGCCCGCCAAGTCGTGCCTCTGCTCTCCTCTGCCTCCTGCTTCATCCCTCTGGGATCCAGCTCCCTGACCCTCACCCCATGCCAGGACTAGGGCAAGGGGCTTGGCTAGGAGGGGCTTCTACCCCAGTTCCATGATGAGCAATTGCTCAAACCCCTCCCAGAGGAGAAGCTGAGCTCAGAGAAGTCAGCTCTCCCTGGGTCACACAGCGAGCAGTCAGGGCACCCAAATCTGGGCTTCCTGAGTCTTGGCCCAAGATTCTTTGCAGATGCATCCTGGGGCCAAAGCTCAGTTCAAAGGGACTACGGGGAAGGGGGCAGAGCCAGACTGATGAGAGGAGTGAGCTGCCGTGACCTCTGGGAGGAGCGGGAGCACGAGAATGGGCCCACACAGAATATGAAAGGTGGGTGGGCAGACTGGGACTTGCAGGAGGGGCTCTGCTGGAACAAGGGGCAGAGTGGGGGTGCTCCCTGGCTCTTGAGGCACGTGCCACCCTCTTCCTGCCCTGTAGACATGAAAGAGATCCTGGACACCTCTGGAAACTGGCCAGTGAGGGGGCCCCTGGTGGTGTCAGGCTCTGCCCTACCCTGGAAAGCCTCTCATGATTTCTTGGGGTGCACAGAGGGTCTGGTCTGGGGGACGAGGACCACCCCATGGACAGGGATGGGCTCCCCTCTCCCTGGCCTCCCCGCTTCCCTAGCTCTCCCACTCAAGAGCGCATCAGACACTCCCACGCACAAGGCTTCACACTCAGACACCAGAGGAAATGCTGACTCTTATTCTTCCTGGATATGGACACTCAACCCCTCCCAGCCTGGCCCCTCAGTCCCAGCTGCCCTGTGGGCCCAGGGGCTGCTCGAGTGATCCTCCAAACCCACCATGACAGCAGCTTTGGAAGGCGTTGTCACGATCCAGAAAGCAAGATAGGGCCTCACCAGACGCCTAGGGGCTGCCTCTGAGCCTCGCCCCGAAAGTATAAAAAGTCTTTATTTCACAGAAGTAAGGGCTATTTCCATGGTTAGGAGGGAAACGACATGAGGCAGGACAGGAGACGAGAACCTGTGTCCTCTTCAGAAGGCTCTTCTGAGGGGAGCAGGACTCTCAGAGAGTCCTCAGGGCCACAGCCGAGCCCCAGCCTGGACACTGAGGGGCAGCCTGCAATTCACGGAGGGGCTGGGGAATGGCCCAGACTGTAGATTCTGGCCCAGAGAAGGAAAGGGCCTGGAGGTGACCTTGAGCATCGATGGCAGGTGCCTCAAGGTTGGGGGCACAGGCGAGCTGGGGTCACATGGGGGTGCTGCGGACCTTGCCCTCCTGCTCCAGCGTGTTCTCATAGGCATGCTCGTGCTCGATGGACCTGAAAGAGGCCACAGGGCTGCCGGTCATCACGCCTCCCTCCACCCCTTTCTCCCTGCCCCGGGGGCCCTGTGAGGGCAGCTGCCCAGAGGACTCCTCCCAGGAAGGTCCCCTGACCAGTCTGGGCTTGTGCTCCTGAAACTGGAGACCTCAGCAACCCCTAAGCCCCGCCTCCCTCCCGCCCGGGCCCCTCCCCAGCAGCCCTCCCCCCTTGAACAACCCTCCCCCATCAAGCCATCCCTCT